ATGCACTTCCAGATCACTCTTTCTCACCCTATCCCCACTTCATCCCTTCCATTTTGACCCTCACTTATAGTTCATCTGAGTTTCTAGTAACTATCCTCCCTGAATCAGTCGGCCTGGCTCTGACCAAAGGCCCACACACTATGGCCAGGTGATACTTTTAAAATCCAAAATAGGTCAAAGTCACATCTCCACTTATAATTCTTGAGTAACACTTATAAGTACTTATTAGAATCTTCTCAATTTCTTCTCCAGCCCTGTATTCTTCCTTTTTCCATCTCTCTACCACCCCATTGGGTCGTGAACTAACTGCAGCATCCCAAAAGGTCTCTGCCTTCACCTTCTGGGTAGTTCTTTCTGGAGCAGTGGCCTTCCCACATTTAACTAACCAACTCCTACTCCCAGATACCTCTTCCTCCAGTCTTTACTGTCTGGTTGCCCCACCTCTTTGCTGTGCATACTCTCTGTGTCCTGTGTATGTACCCCTAGAATCAGCATGTTTAATACTGTCAGAGGCTTCCTCCTTTCTCAGTTGAGCCAGTAGGTAAGTTCCTTGGGGCAGGATCACCACCCACCACTTTTTGCTCCCAAGCACTAGTTCAATGTCTGGCAAATTGTAAATGCAGACAATTCACCAATTCATACATACCTATCTATATAGAAGGACCTCTGCAGAAGGACCTAGCTTAAAATAAAGAAGCACAGAGAGTGAAACTACTTCCAGTATCAACATACTTTGATTTTGCATTTTCAAATTTTATTTTTTGTTTCCCAGATGAATAACAGATGAGGGTCTAAATAGAAGAAAGAAAGGTAGGGATGGATACTTTATTAGATATAAAGTTCTGTTTTCCATCAACCAGAAGTCTCAATTTCCAAAGTATGCTAACCACCCACCTCCCTTGTGAAAAATGTCTTAATTCCTATCATGACTATAAACATATGAAGTATTTTGAACTGCCTAGTGACTTAGTGGAAGGGCTTTGGAACCAAACTAATTGAGCCTGATTTTGACTCTAGCACTTAGTAGCTACATGATCTTTTGGGTTAGTTACTAGTAAGTTACTGAAACTTGCCCATTCGTAAAATGGTAATTATAAGTGAAACCACTTCATATCATTATTGTTAAGATTTGAGCTTAAATAGTACATGACACACAGTAAATTATCAATGTTAGCTAATTATTATTATTATTTTATTATTATTATTATTATTATTATTATTATTATTATTATTATCTCTTCTAGTACACATTGAGCTTCTGAAGAGCAAGGACAGCAGGAATATTCATTTCTACAGCCCCATGTCCCCCAATGTCTTACACAAAATAACATACTAGGCTGATGTTTGCAGAACTGATGAATAAAGCAAAGTGTTCACAGCCAAAAACAGAAAGAAAGAGCATCATTAATTATGATCACAGGCATGGGCAGAATTCAGAACTGCTGCAATAGTTTGGAGACCTGTGGAGAACAGGGACTATCTAGAACACTAGCAGGTTTCCCTGTTCCTGGAGATCTGAAAGCTCAAAACTTCCAAGAAATGCACAGGACAGACAGCTGCTGATGAAGGGGCCCAGGTGGAGCTGAAGAGCTGAGCTGGCTGGGCATCTGGCCTTCTCTTTAGAAACTTCCATGTCCCAGTGGTAGAGCAGTTGCCTAGCATGCACAAAGCCCTGAGTTCCACCATCAGCATGGCCCTGGGGCAATGAGTTTTACCTTTCCTATTCTGCTTCATTTCCTCTTAAGGATATGTGATTTCCAAGGATCCCACTAGCCACTATGGAAGTCTATAAAATCACCAGACAAAGATGGAGGCCAAGGAAGGTGCTTCTGGAGTAAAAACCACCACATCAAAGTCAACACAGGAAGTGAAAGATGGACTATATGATAAGAGATTACTGAGTGAGAAGTGGCCCCTTAAAACATGACAAAAAGCAAGGTTTCTGAAATATGATTAAGATGAAAATAACTGAACTTACAAAATCAAAAGAACAAAAGCAAGGATGGGTGTCGGCTCTTAGATTTCCATTTAATTTAATTACCATCAGCCAACAAGCTTCTTGAGGGTAGTGGATATACCTTGTTAAATGGGAGTGTTTGGCAGAGCTGTTCATCAAAAATACATTTCTTGTCCTTTTTTTCTGGACACATGGCTTACCTACATTTCTCAGGGCCCCTTGCAATTAAATTTAGCCATATACATAGCCCTCATGTTTGTAGAAGTGATGTGGGTCATTTGTAGGCCAAGACATTTTACAAGTGGATACATCTCTTCATTCTGTCTTTTGCCCAGTCAGCTAAAACAGGCTACAAAGAAAAGCCATGTAATTGTGCAGCTAAAAGATAGGGGCAAGGGACTCAGAATTGCCAAATGGAAGAAAGCCACCCAATGACCAGAAACACCCATTTTGGACTATTACATAGGCAAGAATAAATGTGCATTGCTTTTGAACGATTATATGTTTGCAGGCCTATTTGTTACAGCTGCTAACATTATCCTAATTAAAACAGGTGTCCATACCAATGATCTAACTCATATTTGTTGATTGTTAAATGAACCACTGATTACCTCCTAATGTAATACTTGGTAGGAAATGAGACAAATGAGATTAGGCTCCTTTTCTCAAGGTACTGACCAAATTAATGGTAGAAACAGCATGACAAACATAATGCCTGCTGCTAATATTTGAAAACAACATGGCTCAAAAAAGAGTTAATGAAGTCTTCAGAGGGAAGATGACATTTGTGACAGACTCCAAAGGTTAAAGAGAATTTTTAGCAAGTCAGATTAGGTTGGAGACTCCAACCTAAGACTCCAACCTGAGAGGAAAGTAGAGTATGCATTTGTTCACATTCAACCTTATCATTAAGTCTCTAACTTGGTCAACAGAGTGCGAGTTTATTGTGCACTGACTTTTCTTTCTGTGTCTGGCATCCAACAAACAAGTCTTTGTTTTTACAGTACCCTCATTAACTCTATTTCTTTTTTTAATGTAAAAAGTTCCACCATAAATGTCCTTAGAAAGCACAGAAGCAAATACTTAATGAATCATAATAACTCTTTTCTGATAAAATTCTTGAAGAACAAACTTGAGACTGTTTTGTTGCTTGCTATAGTCCTGATCTTAGGAATCAACAGGCCCAACGAAAGTTTTGACATTATTGATTAAGCACATGCCACCTGTTTACAAAACAGAACATTAAGCCCAAATTTTTCATTAACACTTCTACTTTAAGAGGTACATCAGATAGTCCAAGGTTCAGCATTCTAAATCTTCTGTTCAGAGCTAAGTGCCCCAAAGCCTCAGATAGTTAAACTACTTCCTCTAAAAGACTGTGAGTTTCTTCAATTGAAAGCACAGTGCCCATGGGGTAGGGACTGGGGAGAAAGACTGGACAGAAAATGAAAATTATTATAGTTGCGTAGGTGTTAAGAGGAAGAGTGTGGGCATCTGAAGGCTACCATGAAGTAAGCAAGACAGTTTCCATGGTCTTGCAAGTGCCAATTCAATGCAGGTCCTCAGTTACTTAGTTGAATAAAAGAGTAAAACAGCATCATAGGGCAGACCAGATTTCATTTCAAAAGACTCCAGCAAAGAAGCCTTAGACTAGATAGAAGAAACAAGTCAGGTTTCCTCACTCTTGTCAAACACCAATTTAATTCTAATTCAGAAACAAAATTCTTCTGATCCTACACCAATTTACCCTATCCCAACTCTTATAACTATCCTCAAAAGGAGAAGGGGTAAAATGAGGGAGTGGGGAGGTTATCTTAAAAGTAAACTCTCAAAACAGCTGGGATAATTTTCCCCTTAAATCTAAGACACATAGCAGCTGACAGTCTACACTACTGGTCTATGAACACAGCAAAATGCTGCCACCTGCCACCCGGCATCTAGGGGGCCTTTCTTTTTTTGGTAAATGTGACAGGAAAGACTCTGAGAGAAGATCAACTGCTTCCTAGGAAAGAAAGGGAAGCCCTAGGGAAAAGAAACAAGAAGCATGGAGCCGATGATCCTTGGGTACTTTGTGTGTCTCCTGCTATGCACTGAAAGGGCTCTTTGTGTGTTACACACACACACACACACACACACACACACACACACACACACACACGAGTCTCTGTGATTTATTGGGGGAAGGAGAGGCTAGAAGGGTGATTTGATTATGCCTCTTCCCTAAGTGTCCCAGCAAATACCGCCTGGGCCCAAGCTCGGTGGCCTCTTCTGGCCCAGTCCCCCTCTGCCTGTAGCCGCAGAGATAAGAGAGGGGAGGAGACCAAACAAAAACAACCATCGATCTAGGGAAGTGGAGAGGAAATTCAGCGAGTGAGCAGGGAAGGGAGGAGAAAGGAGCTAGAGAGAGCAGCAGGGGTGGGGGACAGAGGAAGAGGAGGGAAGGCTCCGACACAGGGGAAAGGGGAAGGGTGGGTGGGTGGTGGCACAGGAAGAGTGAAGGGGTGGATGGGGGAAGTGCAAGGGAGGTGCCAGAAATAGGCAGTAGGATGCGCTGGGGAAGGCGACGGCCGCCGAGGGAGGAGGCCCAGAGGTGGAGGAGTGGGGCAGGGGTTGGGTGGGGAGGGAAGCAGCACGGGGCATCAATTATTAAGTGATTACATCATCCTTGACATTAAAACAACACACACAGCCCTAGTCCCCACGGGGGGCCCCAAAAGGAGGGCGGGGGCGGAGTCTGGGCCAGCCTCGCCCCCAAGCCAATTCCGATTCCCACCCGGCGCCGGCTAACAGGCGAAGAAATGAGCCCCCATCCCTGCGCTACCTCGGGACCGCACCCCACAAAGGTGTCCTGCGACAGGGCCTCGGGAAGACCCCTAATGCTGCCAACTCTCCCGCAGCCCCGCGCGGTGCCCCAGAGGCGGCAGTGGCGGAGGGACTGCAGCGCGGGGCCCCAGCCGCGGGGGCCGCCCTGTGCGGGGGCGCGGGCGGCCGGGCGTCTCCGCAGCATCCCCGTGGCCTCCAGAGGCGCATCCCGGCAGCTTACCTGTGCGGCGCTCAAGCTCCGAAGCCTATTCACATGGTCCACTCCCCGCCCTCCTTCGGCGCGGCCGAGGCGGGTCCAGTAGCTCCGCTGCGGACCCGGGAGCCGGTGGGCCCTCCGAGATCTCCGAGGGGGCGGCGCCGGGGTGTCCCCGGCCTGGCCGCCGGATCCCTCCCTGGCGTGAGCCGCGGCTTTGTGTGCGCCCGGAGAGTGCTCGGTGCACGGGGAGAAGCGCCGTGCGCCCGGACAGCGGAGGACGCCGGGCTCGGAGCGCAGCCTCGCTTCTGCTCTCGCGGCCGACCGGCGGGCGGGTCTCGGCGGCCTCGGGCTCGCGGCGACCCCTCCTCCTCTCCCGCGGCAGCCCCCTCCCCGCTGGCTCCGCTCCTGACAGATGGCGCAACTGCAACGACGCGCCGCCGCCGCCGCGGCTGCTTGCAGCTACTCTCGCTGATGCTCGGGCCCCTCCAGCTCCCGAGGGGAGCGAGGAGGGGGCGGGGCATGACCTGAGAGTGGCAAGTCGCTCTGCCCTATCAAAGGGCCCCTTGGGAGCTGCGGGCCTCAACCATTGGTGTGTGGGACGGGGGCGGAACGGCCATGGGTGGTGCCGCCGAGTGGGTTGAGCGTTACTGTGGCAGCGGGCATCCTGGCGTGCGTGCAGTGTAGGGTGTGCGAGAGGATGCGAGGCTGGAGGAGGATGGGTGTGTGTGTGTGTGTGTGTGTGTGTGTGTGTGTGTGTGTGAAGGATCATGCGGAGTTGTGAGTTAGTGGGATAGGGCAGGAGAAAGAAGGGAGAGCATAAGCTGCAGTTTCTCTTTTGCGGTAGGTTGCAGCTACTACTAAGAATCGGTACTTGCCATTCCCCCCCAAACCATGGGATCCTGCCTCATAAAGGAATATTTTGCCTTTTTTATTTGAAGGTGGTAGGATAAGATGGAAAGGGTTAGAGAGTGGTAATAGCAGTGTATCCTCTAGTGAAACTAAAATTTAAAAAAAAAAATTAAAGTGCGGAGCAAAGTAGAACCCTATCACAGAACCTTGGAAAAACTAAAAAGAACCCTGGAACCGTCCAATAAATAACCAGGAGAAAGAGAATTTGAAATTAATATTATTTCATCAGTCTCCTACTTTCCTGAGCACGCATATATATTTCTCTTTGAACAAATATCTGGAGGAAAAATTACTGAAATGAGAGGTCCAGGCAGCCAGTAAGGAACCCCAAATCACAGAGTAGTGGTTTCTTTGTACATTTTCCCTCAAAATCACGTGTAATTGTAGCCATTGGTTGTCATTGGTTTCTTATGACTTTCAAACCCCTTATCCCCCCATATTCATCCTCCCCCCCCCCATATATATGAACGAGTCTGAGCTTTTGCTCAGATTTTCCTTGATGAAATAATTGCTGGTTTAGTTTACAGTTAGAAGTACATCAGTCTTTATTTCCTATCCAGCTTTTCTATGGCAGGATGTAACTTCATAAAAAGAAACACTTTGGCTTCCTGATTTTCTTTATAGGTAATTCCTGTTTACTGAAAGCTCTACTTCAAGGCATGCTCAGAATCATTCTCCTTAATGATTCTGGCAAAAACCCTACCCTTCACTCTCAGCAAATCTTATGTTAATGTTCTAAGAAATATGAGTGAATCAGCCTTAGCTTCTAAATTCAAAATCCATAATATTACCTTTCCTGCCCACTATTTTTTACTGTAGCTTAAAAACATCAGTCACTTTTGCAAACTTTTTTCCTTCTGTACACAGCACTTTCTTTGAAAAAAAAGTGCAAATATTTATTAAATTATCTCCATTTTGTAGATGATGAAACTAAGAAAATTAGGAGTTTAGTAATTAATTCAATATAATAATGTATGTGATTACTGGGGACTTTCTCCCCTTTCTCCTCAAGCAAAATGGTAAATCAAAGTACATTTAAATTGAGCATCTGGTAATTCATTCCAAAGTCACATGAAATGGAATCATAGCTAGGACTGGTATATTTCCATATAAGAGAATGCCAACTTTGACTACTCAAGAATTGCCTACCTTGGCCAGGCACAGTGGCACACCCCTGTAATCCTAGCAGCTAGGGAGGCTGAGACAGGAGAATCATGAGTTCAAAGTCAGCCTCAGCAATGGTGAGGCACTAAGCAACCTCTGTGACCCTGTCTAAATAAAATATAAAATAGAGCTGGGGATGTAGCTCAGTGGTCAAGTGCCACTGAGTTCAATCCCTGGTACCACAAAAAAAAAAAAAAAATGCTTATCTCAAGAGAAGGGATAGCCTACCATGGCTGTCCTAGGTTTATTTAGATTAGAATGGAGAGACTGTTGCCTACAATAATGGTTGTCAAAATTGAGCATTAAAATTGCCTGAAGAGGCTGTTAAAACACAGACTGCTGAACCACACTGCCAGAGGTTTTGATTTAGTAGATTTGAGATGTGGCTGAATGATTTGCACTTCAAACAAGTTGCCAGGTGGTGTTGCTGCTGGTGGTGTTCTGGGTACCACACCTTGAGAACCACTGATAAAGAACTAGGCTCTCCAGTGCAGTAGCCACTAGGTACAGTGGTTGTTATGTTCATAAAATATACTTCAGTACTCAAAAATTGGCTCATATAAGTTGAAATATGCTGTAAATATAAAACATTCAATTTCAAAGATTTAGCATGGAAAAATGGAAAGTAAAATATTTTTATATTGACTTCATGTTTGTTATAAGAGTTATATATATTATGCTAAATAAAATATATTAAAGTTTCATGTCTAATATGTGTAATATACTTAATAAATAAATTAAATTTCACCTGTTTCTCCTCCTCCTCCTCCTCTTCCTCTTCTTTTTCTTTTCTTGTTTTGTGGTTCTGTGGATCAAACTCAGGGCCTTGCTCATGCTAAGCTACTGGTCTAACATAGAGCTGCACTCCCTGCCCTTCTTTTGCTTTTTAAATGTAGCTGGAATAGCATTCAAAATAACATGTGATTTGCGTTATGTTATATTTTTATTGAACAACACTGGTTCAGAGTTCTCTCTGATTTCAGCCCCACAGGGCACATTGATGAGGCAGATCATTTCTCCTTTCTGAACTTTCATGACCACATACATAGAATGGGGGAAATAACAAAATTATCTTGCGTTCTTCCTGTGAAAACTAAATGGACATCGAAGCATTTGATGCACACCTTTCTTCATTTTATAGGTACGCTTTCATATACTCTAAGAAAAATCACTCCTAGATAGAGACCTTGGAGTTTCATGCTCAGTTCAATCTATCCCTTCAAGATATCTGGAGTAGATGGTAAGTTGTTTGGTTGTTTATAATTTCTTCAAGAGGGTCACTTTTTTAGCATCTGCAACTCTAATAGCTTCTTGATCTAATTAGTGGACAAAAAGAAAGACAATATGATTAAAATGACAGCTTAATCAGCTCCCACGGAGACTTCCTTCTCTGTTTTGTAATCCTCTTCTTACCTTCCTTTTTATCTGCTGCTATTCCTAAGTGTAGCCTTAAGTGGATTTGGCCTCCTTGGGAGGATTTGTTAATGGTCTGAATAAGTGTATAAAGCACTGCAAAAGATTTGGGTCCTATTGCCCATTTTGATCTACTCTGCAGGTCTCCACAGAGAACTTGGTTAAAGATCTAAGACACTGTCCCTGGCCTACCCAAGACAAGTCATGTTGTCCTTTAAAAGCCTCAGTTTTGTTTTCTTATGGGAAGTTTCTGTAATACAATGTAGACATTTCTCTTTCATTTGATTGTTATTGGTTATTTTTTCTACTTCTTTAATTTTTTTTTTTTTTTTTTTTTTTTGTGTGTGTGTGTGTGTAGTGCTGGGGATCTAGCCCCAGGCCTCTACCACTGAGGTATTTTCCTGGCCTTTTAAATTTTTTATTTTGAGATGGTCTCACTAAGAAGCTCATGCTGCCCTCAAACTTGTAATCCTCCTGTCTCAGCATCCTGAGTACTTGGAATCACAGGCATGTACTACCACCCCAAATTTCTTCCTTCTGTTCTGGCTTTCTTATTTTGTCTCAGCTGAATTTCCTATTCTCTTGCTTTCAAAGTAATATTTTTCTTATTTTAAATTGTATGAGTTTTATCTTATCATTTTAGTTTTAATCTCAAGTGTCAACTCAACAGCAACACATGGTAAACCTAAGAACCTTTGATATAGAGTTCTTACAAGTGAAGAAAACAAAAATTAGTGCTCCAAGTGAAAAACATGTGCAAAGGAAATGCATCTCTGAATAGCTGATGGATATAATAGCTGAAGGATTCACTTGTTTCCAAAACTATGTAAAGATATAGTATGCTTCAACTGACTAATTGGCTGATGACAAAAGGACGTGGGGAGATGGATGCCTATACCCTAGCAGTTGAGTATGAATTGGTACATTTCTGGAGGGCAATTTAATAATATTTGTGAAAACACTGTAACAAAGTATATACCTTTACCCATCAGTTCTACTTCTGGGAAAGAATGCAATAAATTTGCAAAGATGAAACCACAATGGGAATAATGAAAATATTATTTATCCTAGTGAAACATTGAAACAAGTTCATTACTATAGGCTTTGATGTATAAATTGTATTAGAATGCTACATAGTTGTGAAAATGATGATATTTATTTATTTATATGGATTTTCACCATAAGTTAAGAAAAAAATTAACAATGAATGAGTATTATATTTATTTATGTATGTGTGATAGTGTTTCTACATTTATAGCTCCATAACTTTGAAACTTATCTGTATTTTAAATTTTTCATAGTAAAAATATGCAGGAAGCACATATACAAAATTTATTTATTTTTTCCTCTCCTTTTATTTGGGTACCAGGGATTGAACCCAGGAGCGCTTAACCACTGAACCACATCCCAACATTTTTTTTTGAGACAGAGTCTTGCTATGTTGCTTAGGTCCTCACTGAGTTGCTGGGCTGGCCTCTGACTTATGATCCTCCTAATTCAGCCTCCTGATTTGCTGGGATTATAGACATGAGCCACTGTGCCTAGATTCTTATACTTAACAATTTAACCAAGTTGTCAGACTGTAAGTCAACTTTGTTTTCTTTTTTCTTAATTGTCTCAGCTTTTTTGAATTGTACATTTATTATATGATTAGAGGAACAATAAAAACTGAT